CATTAAAACGCTCAGGTGTGAACCGGGCCTAACTGTCATAGAGGTGGTGGGGGTGTGGCTCTGGGGACATGGGAGCAGTTTTAGCAGAAGCCTCATTTTGGCTGATGGGCACCCAAAGACGCCTTCTCGGATCCAACAGTCGTTTAGATTATTTATTTGTATGTTACTTTGGTTATTATGATTCGGTAATTGTTCATTTCGGTATGGTTAATAAGGCGGATGCTGTGGCCATTTAAATCCATGTTGCGCAGTCCGTGTGTTCATTGGGGTTTTAACAGGGGGACGTCATTGACGAATCCATCACTCATGAGAGTGGCAACGCCATTTTAGCCGATCGTCCGGCTGCTGCGTTGTCACTCTCAATAAGGAAACAAAGAGAACTGGCAAAATAATCAAAGGCAAATACAGACGTCATTGTAACACTAAAAGCCTTATTGCTCTATCCATACTGCAGTAAGACATGTTGGACTGTTGTTTGTAACACACCCTTTGGACCTAAGGCGTTACAAAGCAATTTAGCACAGAGCGAGTCAGCCTCCCCGGTATGAAGGCACCAACTTTGCTTCAAATTGAAACCTTCATCTAATAACTGCGTCTACCTGGTAGGTTCAACTAAGTTTATTTCTATCAATGTATTTATTTTGCTTCTTCCTGTTACTGTATTTAATCATTGTATATATTAAATGTACTTTATGCCAAGGATGTGACCTTTTATATTTCATCTTCTATGTGCCTGTTATATTATAATTGAATGACTCCGTTGTCTGGACTGCATAGTTTACAGCCGGTATCTATGAAAGTGTACCAAAAACCCAAGAATAACAATTGTGAGATTACCAGTCCATCGATGTGTTAGCTGCATTATATTTCCTTTATTAAAGGAGAACTATGGGGTCAGGGCTTTTCCCCATAGTTCTCGTAGGGGTAACGGGAGGACACAAACTAGCGTCCTCCCGTCACCCAAAGCTCAGTATAATGCGAGCTGCAGATCACTATATACTGAGATGCCGCAGCCGGGACGGATCCCGACATTACTGTCTGGATCCACTCGGCTGCGTGAGTGACAGCTGGCTCTGCCTATCTAGAGGCAGAGCCACCTGTACCCGCCCCTCCCCCGTCCGTTCCGCCAGTCAGCGCTGGAGGATCGGACAGGGGAGGTGGGGGGAATCCCTGCAGGGAGCCGTGAGTGACAGTCACGGCTTTCTGCAGGGACAGGAACGAGAAGTGAGCGAGCGATCTTTTGAGCCAACCTGTGGCAGTTTCATTGTTACATGTCAGCTGAGATTATGAGGCTGAGTGATTTTCACTCGCCTCATAGTTCTTCTTTATGTTGTTTAACTTTAATTTCACCTGGTGATCCTACTAGTAACACACTTCCTGTCCTAGGGTGACGATGTTTGACTAATTGCACCTTATTTATGGAAGAATAACAGGAAGGGTGTTAGGACTATAATAAGTGTCGAATCTCCGTTTCTCCATTACATAGATGGGTGTCTTAGGGTTCATTCACTGCACCGTGTGATTAATCCACATTATCATGCAACGTGCCTACCATGTGGTATAGTGCGGCAGGTGCATTGGGTTGCCATTCATTTGATTGGCACCCCAATGCACCTCCCGACCATAATGAGCAGCAACGCAGCGCAACGTGTGGTACCGCAATACCGTGTGTTGTGTTGCTGTGCTACAGCACATAGCATTGTGGTACCACGCATTGTGCTGCATTGTCATGCGATTAACATGACACATAGCTGTGAACAAGGCCTTATAGTTCACAGATGGTATCTTGTTAAGCTGAAAATATTTGAGGTATCAGTTCAGTACACACAAAGTAGTCACTGGAATGCTGGCAGGAGCAACAGATGTACTTGCAGAAAAAATACCTAGCTCAAAAAAGAAAACAAATGCAGCCACCTCATGTAACTGGGTTTAGCAATTGTTTAATGTCGAAGTTTACGCCAGTGTGATTTAGATAAAAGAATGTTTCTTATCTGAGAGTTACAGAGCCATAGACTACAGAGCCCACACCTCTTGATGACTGTGTTATAATATCGTAGACTGTAAGCCAAGTGTGCCCCTATGTGGCGAGGGGTGCTGGTGGTGCATGCTAACTGGATGTGGGGTAGGGGAGCTCTTGGTGGGTACTAATGGGATGGGAGGGCTCAGCATCATCTCCCTGTGTAGCTCTGCCTCTAGCTCTGGCTACCGTCCTGCCAGTGACATCACTGGTTGCCAGGAGCTGGGGGCGGGACGCCATCCAGGCCATCCCGCTTAGCTCCTGGCAACCAGTAATGTCACTGGTTGCCAGGAGCTGGACAGGACAATGGCCAGAGCATCCCAGATTGCTAGGAGCTGGGCAGGGAGATGTGTATGGCCTTTATACATCTTCCCACCTGGCTCTTAGCAACCTGGGACACTCTGGCCAGAAAAGGAGCGGCATGCACACTGCAAACATTGTGCAGCACAGCGACCATACCACTCAGCCTTCCGCCCTCCACGTGACCCAAAGCGATGCCACCTGAAGCAAAAGCCTTAGGCCGCCTCTTAGGGATGACCCTGGTCTAAGCACAGTCCTAACAGTTCACTTCCGTAGAGTTTGAGGAATTGGGGTGACATCTGTTGCTACGTCTGTGATCAAGAAGAACTCCTAAATCGTTTTCCATTGCACATTACTCCAGGGAGCCTCTCCTAATATTTTTGGCATGCCCATTTTTAGTATGTGGTTGACCTTACATTTATCAATAGAGAACATCATTATTCATGTAGCTACCCATGATGATTTGGTATTATGAACAAACATTGATATTGAATTATTGATCCCAAGATTAAAATCACAATAAAGGTTGAGCAGTACTGGCCCCAATACATAACCTTGGGACGCACCACTCATAACCTTGGACAAATTGGAGAGAGAGCCGTTTATCCCTACCTTCTGGATGCATCCCTGTAACCAGCTTTGTATCCATGTGCAGTACATACAGGTTCTTCCATGCCAATGGAGTTCAGCTTTAATTAATATATAAAAAATAAACTGTTGGATAATCTCAGTATTCTGTAAATAGGTGATGGTAACTAAACATGATTCATTTTATGATTTACTGCATGGAAACTTTATTGTTCTGACGTGTCACTGAGATTCCTGAAGGCAGCTTTTATGTCATTGTGTTCTCTGTTTTATCATAATCTTGACAGATCCAAGGACTGTACCGTTTGTTCCACAAAGCCGTCATAGATGCAAGCGTTATATACTGATAACATTTGCAAACCTCACTTGCAGAGCATGAGGAAACGTGGTTTCTTTCTCTGTGCATTGGGAACAACATGCTTCATGGGGGTAAGTCTAAATAATACTTCTTCCAGTAAAACAGAATTCATTAAATTATGTTGTTTTTGGGTCTGCTGACCCATTAGTTCATAGTGATGATCAAATCAAGAGGATTGTCATTGCATTTTTTTCACTCTCCTTAAAATATGTAGCTTCATATCGGCAAAGAATCATACAATTTGCAGCAGATTATGCAGTAGCGTCTGTACCGTGTATATGTATATCACAATGTGGTAGCTTCTGTACTGCGTGTTTCTACCTTATGGTATATTTGTGCCTGTACTGTATGTATATATGTTTTGTGTATTATAGATTATGGTGAAGTAGTGATTGCGCTGCGTTTCTCATGGGTTATGGTATAGTAAAGTCTGTAATGAATGTACATCTATCATATCTCTTCTGTACTGGCTGTATATAGATCATAGTGTAGTAGTATTTAGACCATGTGTATATAGATGTTAGAAAAATACTGCCTGTACTGTATGTATATACATCATAGTGTGGTGGTGACTTTGTTGATGAGGACAAGGGCCTCTTCCCCACAACCCTGGCCTGGAGGTTGTGAGGATTTGCATATAAAGATCTAATGGAAATCTGTGAACTACCTATAAGAATGAAGGGGACACCCAGAAATTCACCCATGTGAATGAGTTACACATTCACCAAACAATAATAATCGCAACAGCCAGACATTTGACAAGTCCCTTATTAGAGGGGAAACAAAAAAGCAAATCACCAGCACTCAGTAATAAAGATGAATATGTCCTCTTTATTGGACAAGACGTCACAGTGATCCAAAAAGCCTTTTTGGATCACTGTGACGTCTTGTCCAATAAAGAGGACATATTCATCTTTATTACTGAGTGCTGGTGATTTGCTTTTTGTTCTGTGTTTGGACGGTGCCATCCGTGGTTATCATTACGAGCACCACTTTGCATATTGGCCGGGACTGCTGTGAGGTGTGCGGAGGGCTCCTCCATCGATCTACACCTTATTAGAGGGGAACTTGAATCTGGGACCCCACTTTTTCATAAAAGGTGCTACCAGATACCTATTAACCCCCACCTGCAGACCTCCACAACCACTGGGCCGGGGGTTGTGGGGAAAAGGCCCTTGCCCTCATCAACTTGGGGACAAGCTGCTTTACCAGGATCCACCCTAATATGCCGCCCCCCCCCCCCCCCCCCCTTCGCCCCTGGGGCGTTTCTTGT